CGGCCCCGAGGGAGCCCGGCCCTGCGCCTGCCTGCAGCCTGCGTGGGCCCCGCTCTCCCCCGTCAGGCCGTGGTTTTGTGTGTGGGCTTTGCCAAGGCCCGGCGTCTGCCCGCACAGGTCCCCGGCGTGCCAGTCTGCAGGCAGCTGATAAGCTGTCTCCGCGGTGCCCGGCCCCGGCCCCGGGCCTGGCGCTGGGCTTCGGCTTCCAGAGCGCTCTCCCCGGCTTGAGGCCCAGGGGGCAGGCGGGGACCCTGCGGGACGAGGCCCTGCCCCCACCTGGGCGCTGTGAAGTCTTAGCCAAGAAGATAGCACCCAGGCGGGCGTTTCCCCGGGCCTCTGGCCTGCCCGCCGAGGGCTGGGTTGTGAGTTACATCAGGTGGCGCCCGGGGCCCTGGGCGGGGTCTCTGAACAAAGCCACAGTCTGGGCTGGGCACCAGAACGAAAGGGAGCCCTGGGCTCTGTCCCCGGCGATGGAATGTCAGCCCAACTGGTTTTGCTCCTTGGCGGGAGCTGGTGTTCCTTCACAAGTGGGCCACCGTGCCCCTTGAGGGTAGCGGGCGTCCACGCTCAGCCCCTGCCTCTGCCCGGCCCCCGCGATGGGGAAGAGGGGCCCCATTCACGCCCGGCGCTCTGAGCTCTCCTCTCCTCGCCTGGCCCAGACAGCCTGGAGACCCCAGCCCCTTGTCCGTGAGGCGGGTCCGGTCTCCCCTGCAGGGCTGCTTCTCGGGGAGAGGGGGGGTATGGGGGGATAGGGTGGGATGGCGTTGTCCAGTCCACATGATAGCGATAAAGACAGCGTCTCCCTCCCCCGCCTCACCTTCTCCCAGCCTGACCCCTCTCCCGCACTGCCTTCTCCGCCTCCCACACCTGTCCCTATCTGACCCACTTATCAAGGCCTGGCCACGTCACGTGCCCTCCACGAAGCCCCGTCACCTGTCCCTCGTCACCCTGGGGTGCCCAGGCGTACCTTGGGTGCCTGGGATTGGAAACTGTTCATCTCGGGGGCCCAGGGGAGCTTAAGGCAGAATTTTCGTGAACTGTCTACGGCGGCCTTGACATCTTTCCATGGCAGTGCCTAACCGTCTCCCTCGTGGTTTTTACTGGCAGCGCCCTGTTCCCTACAAGGATAAACCAGGGTTCGTTTATACCTTAGACACCCAAAGCGGTGCTGTTTGTTTGTATGTATGTATATGTCTCTGTGTATTTGTGTGCGTATTATGTATATGTGTAATTATATTTGGGTATATGTCTGTATGCACTGAGTGGCCAGATTATTGTGATCTCTGAATGCATTATAATCTGGCCACTCAGTGTATTTCCTATATAATAAAAGGCTAATATGCCAAAACCGGTTTGGCTCAGTGGATAGAGCATCGGCCTGTGGACTGAGGGGTTTCCAGGTTCGATTCTGGTGAAGAGCATGTACCTTGGTTGCGGGCACAACCCCAGTGGGGGGTGTGCAAGAGGCAGCTAACCGATGTTTCTCTCTCATCGATGTTTCTACCCCTCCATCCCTCTCTCTTCCTCTCTGTAAAAAATCAATAAAATATTTAAAAAATAAAAAAATAACAAAAATAAGAGTTTAATATGCAAATTGTCCCCTCCACCAGTAATTTGATCAGCAGGCAAGCCGGCCAGCTGCCCATGTCCCTTCCCCCTGGCCAGGCTGGCCGGGCCCCACCCATGCACAAATTCATGCACCAGGCCTCTAATATAAATAATCTGGCCACTCAGTGTATATTTGCATGTGTGTATATTTGTGTGTGTTGTGTATGCATTTGTGTATATGTTTACATGTGTGTACATTTGTGTATGTTGTGTATATGTGTGTTTGTATTTGAGTACGTGTATTTGTGTATATATCTGTACTTGTGTGTATTTGTGTGAGCATCTGCGTTTGAGTGCGTTTCTCTGCTGGATGAGTCTCCAGCGGGGGTTTGGGGAGCAGAGTTATGACACTGGGATGTGCTTCTGCCACTTGTCATGGGGCGGGAGACGCGGCAGGAGTGGAGTTCTCAGGCAGAGAGGGACACACCACTCCCTGCCTTCCACCAGGGTCACACTTACATGTTCGAGGCTGCAGTTCTGTCTCCTGACAAGCTGAGCCCTGGCCTGAAATAAACATGAGAGATGTTTTGACGTGTGATGGTAAAAAAAAAAAAAAAAAAAAAAGAATCCACATTTGGCGGAGACTTTTTAAGAATCCAGGAGGAGCCAAGTCTGGAGGGGTCGGAGCCGATTCCGAGAAAAGGAGAAGCTGTGAAACAAAAGAATCATATATTTATGTGGAATGGTACTTCTTAACATTTTCTAAGAGACCTTGTTCAGCCGTGCTTGGAGGCAGTCAGGAGAGGCTTCCTGGAGGAGGTGGTGCCTGAGCTGTGTTTTAGGGCCACATCCCAAGCAGACCTGGGGCCAGCATTGGCCAGTGGCTGGCAGGCTGTACCCAGAAGTCTCCCGGAGGGGCGTTCCCTGGGTGAAATCGCTAACAGGCATTGTTAGAGTGGCAGGGGGTAGGTAACAGGCCATAGACTCAGAGCCCAACGCCTGGGTTTGAATCAGGCTCCTTCACTCACTCATGAGGCCCTTGGCAAGTCTCCTCACCTCCCTGTGCCTCAGCCTTCTTATCTGGAAAGTGGGGGTAATAACAGCAGTTACCTAAGGTTGTTGGGAATACTAACTACGGCAGCTTGGCACACAGTAAACGCCATGTAAGTGTCTGTTGTTACTACTCAATTTCCCAGAGCCTCGGCTACCTCATCTGTGAAATGGGGACATTAATTGTAACCACTATGGAATTAAACTAGATGGTCCATGTAAGGAATTTGATGCGGTGCCAGGCAGTCAGTGCTCCTTAAATGTTCAGGGTTATTGCCATTCTTGCCACCTCCTCTCTCACCTCTGACTCCCGATGGGCTTCTGGAGCCTGGGGGCCTGTGTCAAGGCTGCCGAGAGCCTGGGCCCCCAGCCCACCTGTCATGTCCGTTTATAGCCTCTGAGATTCGGGGCAGCCAGGCAGCCCTGGCCCCGGAGCCTCGTCGGGCACTCCCGACCGAAACCAAACAGCCTCCCAAGGACCAGCTGCAGACGTATGTCCCTGTCACTTTGGGCGAACACTTGTCCACGGATCTTAGGCCTGGCCAGGCACCCGATCCCCTCCCTTCCAGCCCGAGCTAGGAGAATGCAGCTGCTTTGGAGCTCAGGCACACTGGGTTCAAATCCCAGCTCCCCCACTTTCTAACTGTGGCCTTGGGCATGCCCGTTGGCCTCTCAGGACCTCAGTCTCCTCTCCTGTGAGAGGGGTCCATGACAGTTCCTGTTGAGAACAGTGGAAGTCAAAGTGGATTGCACACCATCAGCGCCCTGCATTAGCCTTCGACACTGTCATTACCATTGCCCCCAGTCCTTGTGCGGGTCTGACCCGGACCCAGGACAGGAAGGCACTGGGACAGAGCGAGGTCCCCATGGCAGCCTGGGCCCCAGGACCCCAGAGCTCCCTGCGCAGCTGGGGTGTAGAGTTGCAGAGGGACGGGACACACGTCTTAAATTTCTCAGAATCGCTCTGTCATCTGTGGGCCACCAAGCACCGCCCTGACTCAGGGTTCTTTCTTAGGCGGATGTGTCAGACACCCCAAAATACACACAGGCATAATACCCTCTCCTTTCCCTGCCCCGTCGCTAGCTCCCTTCCCTTTTCTGGATAAGAAGCTCACTCCTACTCACTGGGGAAAAAATTATTTTCAGGAACTTGTTCTTCCAACAGACATTTATTCAACAATTACTCCAGGCTCAGTTCTGAGTGCTGGGACACAGGCTGTAGATCAGGGGCCCCAGCCAGCCAGCCACCTCTTTCTCAATAAAGCTTTATTGGAACACAGCCACGTGCACTCCCATACTGCTTGCACTGCTTTCTTGGTAGCAGTGGCGGAGTGGAGTAGCCGGGGCAGAGACGGGGTGGCCCATAAAGCCCCAGATATTTGCTGCCTGGCCCTTCCCAGAGAAAGCTGCTGGGCTCTGACGCACAGGAGCAAGTAAAGATGGCGGGGTCGTTCTAACTCCCAGCCTGGTGAGCATCTTGTCCACAGCATCCCTCAGCCATCATGGCGTACACAGTGTCCCCAAAAGTTGACTAGGAGGCGGGCACTTACTGGGCCAGGTGCTGTGCCAGGAGCTGGCGTGGAGTCTGTGCCCATGCCTGTGCATCATCAGAGAGGGAGGTGGAGAACAAGGATGATAGAGTGCCTGACCTTGAAGGGTGCGTCAGCAGTTACAGAATCTCAGCATCTGTGTTGTGATCCTACCCCCATCCTGAGTGCCTAGCACATAGTAGGTGCTCAGTAAATATCTGTTAATAACTTCTGTGTCAAACTTGCCTGCACAGAGGTGAGTCCGAGTTAGGCAGGAAGAGTTCAGGAGGAGGAGGAGAGAGCCCTGTGGGTTGCCATGACTCTGGGTAGGAAGGATGGATAGGAAGAGGGAACAGCACAAGCAAAGCCAGAGGCCAGGAATGGGTGGGGTTTGGGTGGGACATGGCGAGTAGGTCAGGAGAGTGGATGGAGGGCTTGTTTGGGGTAGGGGTGGGAGTTGGGACTGGACAGGAAATCTGGGACTCAATTTTACAAGGGGTGTTGGATTTCAGTAGGAGGACAGTAGGGAGCCATAGGAGGTTCTTAAGCAAGAGATGAATGCTCTGCATATGCAGATTATGCCTCTTGACATTAAGTAGAACATAGAAGTGGTCTTTCTGGAGTTGGGGGAATGTTGCTGAGGAGGGCGGCCCCTTCGGCCCCGTTTGCCCAGTTTTGGCACCGACAGTCCTGGATCCTATGATGTGTCAGGCAAACTCGGACGGTTGGTCACGTAGTGCCCACTAAGACATCTGGACCCACCCTGAGGGCAGCGGCGGGTTAAGCCCGGTGATAGGTTAGGATTCGCGCCCGCTGGGACCAGATTCTAAGCATTTTCCTGACGATAACCCCCGGTCTGGCCTTCCCTCGCAGGATCAGCTGAAACAGTGCTTCTCCCGGCGGCCCCCCGAGGCCAAGGACACTGACACGCTCGTGCAGGAAGCCGACAGCCAGTATGGGACGTGGAGGGACCAGCCCCAGAGCGGGGAGAGGTAGGTGGGCGCGCGAGGCCCCTGGCTCCGGGGCAGGGCGGCTGGGCAGGGATCTGGGCGAGCTACTGCAGCGTGTTTTGTCTGTAATTGTAAGAGTAAACCATTCTTGTTGTAAAAAAAAAAAAAAAAAAGAAACTTAGAAAGTATTAAAAAAAAAATAATAAATGATATGTGAACTATCCAGAATAGGCAAATCCATGGAGACGGAAAGCAGATGAGTGGCTGTGGGAGGAGGCGGGGTGGGGGTGGTCAGGAAGAGAGCTTGGGAATGACTGCTAAGCAGGTACCAGTTTCCTTACGGGGTGGTAAGATGTTCTAGAAGGAATGGTAGTGATGGTCACACAACGCTGTAAAGGTACTGTATCTCACTAGTGCTAAATTCTATGTTATGCATATTTGCCACAAATTAAAAAAACATAAAGAACATGAAAATACCAGTAACCTCAGCACACAGCTTAATAACCTTCAGTAATGTTTTTGTCTTTGTATAATTTTTCAATATATCGGTGTGTTTACAAATATAAGGACATATACATATTGCTCTATACGCTGCCTGCGTTTAATATGGCCACTGTCAGTGGCCTGTAGGTCCTCAGTTGGCAGCCTGGCAGAAGGCCGGAGGTTATCCAGGGTAGCCCGGATTCAGGAGGCAGGCAGGTCTGCATCCCAGCTCCACCCCCGCCGGCTGAGGGATAGCCTGGTGCATTGTTATTCTCTCTCTGGGTCTCCAGTGCCCCTCTTACTGGGACCTGGGATCTCCCAGGGAGGCGGGTGCCTCATCCCGTCTCCTAGAGGCACTGCAGCGCCCCCTCCTGGACGGTCCCAGGAGCCACTGTGCTCCCAGCCCTAGCTAGCAGTGCCATCTGCTGCCACCTCCATGGTATTTCTCCTTATTTTTTGTGGATTTGGCTCAACCCCACCCCATACCCCTAAATCCTGCCTATTTCAAGTAATAAAACCACCCCAGAGCTGACAGAAAGCACCTCTGCGCTCCCAGTACCCCTGGCCCGAAGGGTCTGCTAAGGGGGCAGCTGTGGGGACGCGGGGGGTGGGAGTGGGGGGTGTCTTTCAGGAGAGACCCTCCTGTTAGGGAGGTGGTGTCGGGCGTGTCCACACACCCTTCCCCAGGCAGGTGTCTCTTTGTGGGCAGGGAGAGCCTTTTTTAATGTAAGGACTTGACTTATTTATAAATCTCCTATTGTTATCCAAGTGATACCTGAGTATATGGTCGTGGGAAGAAATTCCGGAAGTAGAAGGGGGTCAGGGATGTGGGTTTTAGAGTCAGGTCTGCCCCCTTTGGGCCAGCTGCCTGTGTCTCTGGTTCCTCGTGTTCCGTGAGGCTAACACTTTATCCGGGAGCTTAGCCCTCCCGTTCCACAGCTGGCCAGGTGTTCCAGAGGCACGATCAGCACCTGGCTGTGTGCCCGAGGGGGGTCTCCTGGGATGTCTGTCTGTCTCCTGCTTCCTGGGGTATAAAGCACACCCACACCCTACTTTCTGCGCCTTCTTTTTTTAAAAAATATATTTTATTGATTTTTTTTTTTTTTTTTTTTTTTTACAGAGAAGAGAGAGGGGTAGAGTTAGAAACATCAATGAGAGAGAATTATCGACCAGCTGCCTCTTGCACACCCCCTCCTGGGGATGTGCCTGCAACCAAGGTGCATGCCCTTGACCGGAATCGAACCTGGGACCCTTGGGTCCGCAGGCCGACGCTCTATCCACTGAGCCAAACCGGTTTCGGCTTTCTGCACCTTCTTTACCCTGTTACTCAGCCCTTGGAAACAGCCTGCATGACCATGTCTCCCTCCCTCCTTCCTTCCTTCCTTCCTTCCTTCCTTCCTTCCTCCCTCCCTCCCTCCCTCCCTCGCTCCCTCCCTCACAGCGTGGGCCCTGAGTCTCCGTCCCCAGACAGCAGTGGCGCGTCGGCGTGGAAGCAGCCCTCCAGCAGCCGCTTGTCCTCCCTGTCCTCCCCCACGGAGGCCACCTCGGCCGGGGACCAGCAGGACTGCCCCAGGGACCAGCGGAGCGCCAGCGAGGACCGCTCCAGCACTGACCTGGAGTCCACGGAGGGGCCGCCCCCGCCAGACGCCTGCTCCCCAAAGAAAGTAGATGACTTCTCCTTCATCAATGTAAGCCGGTTCTCGGGAGCGTGTGCTGGAAGCACTCATTTCTTCTTAAAGGGACATACTAGCATCTCCTGGCGGGTTGCCCCTCTCCAGGGCAGAATGTGTGTGCCAGGCACCGGTCTGGCGGTGCAGAGGGCACAGTCTGAGACGGGCCTGACGTCTGCCCGGGGCGCGGACCTGCCGTACACCGGCTGTGCGTCTTGGGGGCAAACGCTTTCCCATCCCTGAGCCTCTGCTTCCTTATGCACCGTCACCAGCAGAAAGGGCTCCAGGGCCTCCAGTGCAGTCACATGTGCTCACATGGAAGCTGATCCCAGCCTGAGGTCAGGCCTGTTAGTGAGCAGGAAGTCTGACCTCACCCTGCCCGGTGCTCTCAGTGGGAAGTGTCCCTGAGCCGGAGCGTACGGGTCTCTCTGTAAACGGAGAGCATGGTTCTGAGAAGGGGAGACCGCCCCAGGTGTGGGTCCCCAGAGCCAGCCCTTACAACTCAGCTTTCTAGGTGCCAAGCAGAGGCAATGCCAGCTGCCAGGTCCAACTGCTCTTGCCCCAGCCCCTTCCAGACTGCCGCCCGTCCTCCGCCTCCCCCAAGCGAGAACCCCCACCCCTGCAGCGGGCAGGCAGACTTTCCTTGTCAACCCCTGAGGCATGAAGATCTCGTTATTCTGCTTCCCTGACAGTAAAGCTACCCTCCTGAAGATGCAACGTCACAATGATGCGGAATCGGAAAGGGACCCGCTCTCCTGGCAGTGAGGCCTCATGCCCACACTCTTAGGGTCGGCTGGCCAGATCCCTCCTGAGCAGGAACCCCACTGCTCTGGGAGGGGGACTCCCTCTAGGGCACATGTGTCAAACACAAGGCCCGCGGGCCAAATCCGTCCCGCCAGGCCTTGCAATGTGGCCCGCACCGCGCTGTCATCACTGCACTCCGCTGCGTTTCCATCACAATGACAGTTTATGACTGTTCAGTAAACCATTCGGCCCGCGATTTAGGCTGGATTTTAGATTTTGGCCCCTTCTCTGATTGAGTTCGACACCCCTACTCTAGGGCCTCAAAGGGGATTCCCCTTCCTAAGTAGAGTCAGCTGGCACCTCTGGGTAAGACCAGAGATGGGGAAAGACACAAGTTCAGTCTCCCCTGGGGCACCCCACTACATAAACATGGACATGGTATGGAGTATAAGGATTTAATTAGGTGATGTCTTCAGTTATTCACTCAACAAACATGTATGCAGCTCCTGCTACGTATTGAGCACTGCTCTAGCTTATATGCTCGAGTAATGTCATCAGGAGGGGAAAGGCATTTCCATTGTGTGCCCACTGTGTGCCCAGCACAGCGCCAGGGCGCTCAAGCTTCATTTGATGCTTGTAATCAACCTTTGTGGTTTGTTTCACGGAGAAATTTCGGCTTCGGGTGACAGGTTGGTATTAAAGTGCAGAAATGCTGGCCCACCATGTGCCACCTAGTGCATCGGCGAAGCTTCACACGCTTCTCTCCGGTGGAGCCCTCGGTGAGTGGCTCCCTTGGTTTTCCTCTCTCCCTCCCTGCCGCGCCCAAAGCAAACCTCAGTCCTCGACTCCAGTGCCCTCAAGACCCGGGTGCAGCTCAGCAAGAAGAGCCGCCGCCGGGCGCCCATCTCCCACTCCCTCCGGCGCAGCCGAGTCAGCGAGTCGGAGAGCAGGTCTCCGCTGGAGGAGGAGGATGACACCATGTGGATGTTCAAGGACTCGACAGGTACACCCCCCCCCCCCTCCTCCACATCTACCCCACACTGAACGGCAGGAAGGATGGGGGTGAAGCATGAGAAGGAACTTCCTGCCAGTTGAAGGCAGTAGGATATTAGGACATAATTACACAGGAAGCTGATTCCTTATCCTGCACAGTTTATTAGGAACTAAGTAAAAAATTCTCTCCGTGAGGAATGATATATTAATTGGGGCTCTGCAGGTTGCAGGGGACAGGGCCACAAACTTAGCAGGGTTTCACGATTCCTTGCTTTTATCCTTATTAAATTCATCCTATTCTCTCACCAGGTTTGTTTGCTGGTCTTCTTTTCTACATTCTTCAGTTAAAAGATCGGTTTATTTATCAGTCTTGTTTGGTTTCTAGTGAATTATTTTAAGGCTATGCATTTTCCTCTGAGGCTTTTTTTGGCTGCATTTTGTATCACATCCTGAGCTGAATTTTAAAGGGCAGGTAGGGATTAGCCAGGGAAAGGTATTCCAAACAGAAATGTTAACAGGACCAAGGAGGCAGAGGAGTAGAGGGAACATTCTCTGAGTGTTGCAGGTGCCTCTCTAAGTGGTTCAAGCCAGTAGTAGCAGGAATTATGCTGGAAGAGTAGGTGGGGCCAAGTGGTGGGAAGTCCTGATTCTTTGCCAAGGAGCTAGGCTTTTTCTGTCAAGAGTTTTAAGCAAAACCTTTTCCTGTAACGGAAACCATAGCAGGGGACCTCCCCATTGCGCACATAGATGGCCTAGTCTGCTGTAGGGACTTGTGTCCACTTGTCAAACAGGAGGATGTCAGACCCGCTGGGAGCTGAGTGAGGGCGCAGCTTCTGACCAGATACCTTAAACGCTGGGAGGGCGGGTTATCTCTCCCTCTCCCATCTCGTGCCTGTCATTCAAGGAAATGCTTAAACGCCTCTGCACACTTTCTTGGTTTTCTGAGCCAAATTTCACAGAGCTGTTTGACCAAGTAAAAACGAAAGTGAAGACAAAAGCCCACAATTACCCCTAAAAGCATGTAATTACCCCCTCCTCCCACCCCGCTGGGGGACATACAACAGCTCCTGGCTCCCAGCAGCCTTGAGGAACTAGCCGGGCACTGGGGAGGGCCTGGGGGTACCCTTTCTGGGCACGCCCCAGTTTCCTGCTTGGCCAGGGGCCCCACTCCCCACTGTGCCCGGTCCTGGGTCCAAGTCTCCAGGAGGTTGAAACTCCGCCCCTCGCTCCTGGAAGAGTGGGGACAGCAGTCTCTTTCCCAGAAGTCTCACTGCGAGGCTGGAGTACGATGACGGGGCTAAGCCCCAGAGAGGGGGGTTTGGGTGAAGGTTTGGGTTAAGCCCCGTCCAACTCCAACTCTGAGCAGCCCTTCCACAGACACCGGGTCCCTCCCGCTCTCTTCGGAGAGCCTGAGCCCGGGGCACAGGGGCTGGAAGCACTTCCGGCTCCTTCCCTGTCTCTACCAAAGGGCTCCTGCTTTCTGCCTGGGAAAGAGCCGGGACCAGGTGTCTGTGCCCGGGCCCAGGAGGAACCCCATCCTGCCCTACTGAGCACGTCTCTCGGCCAGAGCTGTGGAGGAGGAAGGTCATGAGTGCAAGCCCTGAGCGTGTCCTCATCTGCCCGATGGCCCTGGCATGCCCCGATGGTCAGGGCTGGGGTGAGGATTGCCCAGGGTCTGTGTGCAGAGCATCTGGAACCCGGGCCTCCGTGCACGGGGGCTGCCCGTGACACCGGCGCCCTTTTCTTTGCAACAGAAGAGAGATTCCCCAGGAGAGAAGAGTCCGACGAGGAGGAGAAGCGGTCCGAGAGGTCGCCCGGCAGCCATCCCCAGAGGATGCCCGTGTTTCCGGGCATCGACCCAGCTATGCTCAAGGTACGGAACCTCGCACCCGGAGCCACTCTCGGCTCTGGTAGCAAAAAGAACAGGAAGAGCAGGCCCCATAATTCTTGCCCTCCCTCCCTCCCTCCCTTCTGCTGTCCTCCGAATATGGGTGAGAATCCACCCGGCCTTTTTCCTGTGGGAATCCAACGGTCCAGAGCTTCATCTTATTCAAATGGAGGCGGGAGCATGGAGCTGGACAGAGCTGAGTTGCACCCGTAGGATGAGTTGGTGGCCCCACCTCAGGGCTGCAGGCCTGGCCACCGATTTTCTTCCCCCCCCCCCCCCCAGGTCAGCCAGCATCTCCCCTGCCCCGGGCTCCTGCCTGTGGAAGCCTGGGCATCATCATGCAGGGGCAGTGCCGTGGGGTGGGACCCTCTCCCGGCGACAGGTGGTCACAGATGCATCTCTCTCCTCTCCCAGGCGCAGCTGCACAAGAGGCCGGAGGCGGACAGTCCCAGCGAGACCCCCGGCTGGGCCCCCCAGCCCAAGACCCCCAAGTCCCCCAAGTCCCCCTTCCAGCTGGGCAGTCGTGTGCTGCCCACCAGCGTTGAGAAGGACGAGAGGTGAGGGGTCTTGGGGAGGAGGGAGTGCCCTCCCCCCTGGGGATGGAGAGTTGGGTACCTCACGGCGCTGCCTGCAAGGCGCCCTCGTTCTCACGCACACTCGACTCCCTGGCTTTGTGGTTTCAGATCAGGAGAGACCTCCCCCCAGTGGCTAAAGGATCTGAAGTCTAAGAAGAGGCAAAGCCTTTATGAGAATCAAGCTTGACCAGGTAGGGAGGGCTGTGGCGGGGGAGACCTGGACGGAGCCCGCAGCCCAGGGGCTGGGGAGCGGGGGCGGGAAGGTGCAGGGGCGGAGATTTGGACTCTGGGAGGGAGAAGGAGAACCGTGGGCGCGGGTGTTCTGGCTCCTGTGAAGGGTGTGGCGGTGCCTCTTCCTCTTAGGGATGAGTCACAGCTGGACCCCCTGCAGCGGCCAGGGCAACCTGGCCTCCGGTTACTCCTGTGTCTCCATCCCCTTTTATAACATGAGAGAGCAGAACATGGAAGATCAGCTTAATCTGAAGGGTTCCCAATCTACATTTATATACTCCCTGCATAATTAAACATTAATTGGGGGGGGGGGGAGATTAAAAACACACAAACGATTCGATATAGCCTGGTGTAGGTCCCGGACAGCTGAACACCTTAGTTTCCCCGTCTGTGAAATGGGCTGACAGCACCCATGTGGCCGAGTGGCTCAGGAGCTCCCTGCGAAGGCACCTCCAGTGCCTGCTGTGCACCCTCAGGTCCACGCCCAGGACAACTGGCTCTGAGAGGCACAGCACAGCAGACCTCTACCTGCCTCCCTGCCCCTCCACCCCCCAATCTCGCCTCCTGCCCATGTCCACAGTGGAAGCCAGAGCCCTCTGACAAGGAAGCATCTACGTCTCAGAGGCCAAGCCTGCCCTGCGTGGACTGAATGCTGCTTAGGCCGCCTCCCTCTTTCTGTGACTACCCATACGTGACACTGCAGGCGTACTGTGTGCTTGCTTATGGGCTGTTGCATATATTACACAGTAGTCACATATTTATATATATACAGTATATATGCATATATGGGTATGTACTTGTGTATCCTAAATCCCCCCAAAAGAATTCTAAATTCTGCATGCAGCCGTGCTCCGGGGTTTGGATGAGGGATGGAGCCTGTGTGTGTGTGTTCCGAGCTGTGCACGTGATGTCTCGGGCTCCAGTCACCCACAGGAGGACGCTGAGGCTGGAACCCCACCTCGGTTCAGTGTCGCCTCCATTCCGCCGCCTTCCTCATCCCAGCCCTCAAACAGCCACCAACCCCGCGTCACCCTTCCCAGCCCTCGGCCCGGGCCCGGGGCGCGGCCGCCTGGGGGAGTCCCAGCCTGCGGTCCTGAGGCCTGAAGCTAGAGAGTCACTGGGCCCTGTCCCCCCTCCTGACGGGGCTCTCCCTCCCTCTCCAGGCGGGGACACCGCCACGTCTGAAGAACAGAAGCCTTAACTGTCAGCCCCCCAGGACGAGGCCACGCTGCCGCCGCCCCCTCCCGCACAGCGGCCACCCGCCCGGGCCCGCCTGCCGGTCAGTGCAGACGCTGTCGGTCCGGGCTCCACCCCCGAAGGCGCTCAGGATGGACCCGATCGGACCGGACCTGCACGCCTGCCAGACGGCACTGCAGGCTGGGAAAGAAGCCAGGCCGCCCGGAAGTGTCCCCGTTGGCAGTTCTGTCGTGGTTTTTTTTAATGTAAAAGTGCATTTCTGCCCACGTAGGCAGCAGCTCCCGGAGCACGGGGCGGTTCTGGAAAGCTCCTGGCCTGGGAAGCTCTCCTCCCCTCCCGGGGCAGGTCTTCCCCCGAGGACTCTCCGAGTTTCCTGTTTTCCTGCTGGTGTGGTGGGCGGCACCGGGCCAGGCGTCCAGATTGCATTTCGGCCAGTCCCCCCCCCCCTCGGAGGCTCAGAAGTCCCGATGTGAAGCGTCCCCTTCCCGTGTCGATCCTCCCACGGGGCTGTGCGCGCAGCTGACCTCCTCTCCCGCGTGTCCCGTGTGTTTGCTTCCGGAGGCGACAAAGCAATAACGCAGCCAGCTTGCCCTCGAACGCGCACGGGTATATGATACAGTTTTCACATAAAGGAACGGGAGGGGAGAGGCGTGGCTGCTGTGCCGGGAGCATCTGATCATCTCAGGTTATCTTGTCCCCTATCCGAGCTTTTTGTAAAGGCTCTGATGGCCACCCCTGCGTACAGCTCCCTGGCGTCTCTCCCCTCTGAACTCTGGTTTCGGCGGAGGGACAAGCCGCAGCCCCTGGCAGTGCCTTTCCCGCCGCCTGGCGTTTCCCTGGCGTTGGTGTCCATCGCTGCCTGCGCTGAGGGAGGAGCCGGCCCGCAGTGGCCTCGCCGAGCAGAGGCAGGGACCAGGGCTCTTGTGTTTCTCCTCACCCCTTCCTCGTCCCCGCCTCTCCCTGCACCCACCAGGTGAAGGGAGGGGGTCGCGCTGAAAGCCCTCTCGGCAGGGAGCCCCCAGGCCAGGGCGCAGACAGCGCGCTGGGTGCTGGGGTCGGAGCGGAGTTCACCTGCCTCTCTCCCTCGCTGTCTCTCCTCCGTCCCCTCCTCTTGGGCAATCCTCCTCCACACCGGCCCCCTCCCCCTGCGAAACCCAAGGCCCCAGCAGACGTCCCAGAGGTGCCTGCTGGCCACCTGCCATGCCTGGAGTCGCCATAAACTGTGTGCCAACCTTCCCCGGGAGACGCCCTTGGCGAGAGGGATGTCTGGGCAGCCCCCAGGGCGGCCGGTGGTGCCGAGGGGCCCTGGGGCTTCGTCCCCCCGCCTCCAGCAACTCCCCGAACGGCGGAGCTCTCCATAAATCCCGTTATATCCCTCCCTCTTCCCAGCCACCTCTCCAGGAGCCCTGTGTCCGCTCGTCGCTCTTTGCATCGTCTTCCCTCCACCTCCCTCTCAGCCTGTGCCCCGGGGAGCGGCTGGCCGCCGCCCGCAGACAGTGACCGGAGCCGTCTTCCCTGAGTCCTGCAGCCGAGCTTGGCCGCTTCCCGAGGGCGCTGGCTGGACCCTGCCCTCCCCCCTCTCCCCCCCTCCTGTGGGTCTGGAGCCTCGTGCGTCTGTGTGTGGAGGTCCGGCCCCGCTCGATCATAGCTGTGTCCCCTTCGTTCCCCGAGGAAGTGGTTGGCCCGCTCTCTCTGGCCTGTTTGGGGGGTTTATTTCCTCCAAGAACGCCTGGGTGACTTGTTGCTCCTGCTTTTACAATAGCGTCGATGTGGTGGCTCTCCCGGTCAGGAGGCTCCCCTTGGGGCCCTGCTCACTCCTGTCTCAGCTGCTGCTCTCTCTGTCCTTCTGAAGGCGGGAGGGGCCCGCACCGTCCCCGGCAGTCAGTAGGAGTGGCCCGTTCTGTCCAGCGAGGGTAGCGCACTCACCACACGCCACCCTCAGTTCGGAATTAGTCCTGTTTTAGCCCAGGTCTGCCTGACAGGAAAGAAAAACGCTCAAAAGGGAGATCTTTTGCCTACCCTATCCTCCCCCTTCCCCCCAGCCCCCAATCCCTCCCGCTGGAACTAAAAGTCCAAACCGATTCCGTGGTGACTGAGACACACGGACTCCACCCCTTTCAGAGGACGGGAGCGGACCCTGAGCATTCTCCCACCCTTTTCTCTCTCCTGCGGCCTCCTCTCTCCACGCAGAGCAGACAGTCACCGTGGGTCAGGAGGGCCCACCAGCGCCGCCCCCCCCCCCCCCCCCCCCCGCCTCAGGATCCCCTGAAGGTTAGAGGATTGACGTCCAATCCTGTGCAGACAGACGGCTGGGCCAGTGGGGTACGTGCGTCTCCTCTTCCTAAGCTGGCTGAGCTCTTTGGGGGCAAAGCACGGGTTTGTATTTTAGTTTCTCGAGTGAGCCTGGGTCATCTTTGGAAACCCTGTCTCCTTTCACACTAACTGAATATGCCTTAATCGTCTGTATGCAACCAAGCTCCTGCCCTCCTCCCCCTCCTCCCCTGGCCGCTGGCTCTCCTCAGTGAGAGTCTTGCACAGAAAGCCACTCGCTATGGATGCACCGTCTCCGCCACCTCTCTCCTCCCTCCCGCCCCCACCTCCACACACGCCCTTTGACCCTTTGCGCATCTGCCCCTTGGCCCACGGCCTCTTGACGAGGCCTCTGGCCTGTGAGCTCCCCGCTCGGCCTCCGGCGTCAGTGCTGCGGGGAGGGGCTTGGTGCCGCCAGAGGAGCGCTGTGGCCGGAGACCTCGCGGAGTCTGGGGTGCTGGGGATGGCAGCCTCGGGGTGTCTGGGGTTTGGGGCAACGACAATCACATGGGGATGTTTCCCGGGCGGGGGGGGGACACATCCTGTGCTCTTGGACAAATGTGCATCCCGGGAAGTGAGGCCAGGTATTGCGAGGGAGAGACTAGACGAGGCCCAGGCCTGAGATCCTTCTAGTAAACCTTCAGAGACTGTGCCAGGGATTTAGGAAAACCCTTGGCATGATTTCTCCAAGGAGCTGCCCCGCTGGTGCCGAGAGCTGCCTTGGCCATTCCCGCTTTTCCATTTCCCACCAGGGCACCCGGTTGCCCCAGGCTCCGGGCATAACCGCAAAGCGAAATGCCCACGGGGTGGGGGCGGGCGGGCGGGTCGCCTGCGGAACGAAATGCTTTCTTAAAGGCGACTCGGGCCCACGGGGAAGACGGCGTCCACCACGGAGAGGGCTCTGCCCCCAGCCCCTGTGCTCCCTCCCACGAAGCCCAGGAAGCTGGACATCAGCCGCCTTTGTGTGAACTAGCATTCGGGGCGGGCCTGCGGGGCGGGGGGTGGGGAGAACAGCGCTCTCGGTGGGACACTCCAGCTCCCCCTTGGGGCCGGGGCAGGCCCTTCCTGGCGGACAGACTGCCTCTCCTCCCGGGGATAGACTGCCTCTCCTCCCGGAGCAGCACCCGCCGACCGGACAGGCACTTCCGGGCCATCGGCGGTGTCCACAGAAGAACTTGAGCCTTTTTTAACGATCTCACTCCACATGGCCTTACCGATCCTGTAAACAGGGGGCTGACCAAAGTACTATATTGTGTTTCGGACGACCTTTTGTACCGGGCTGTTTCCTAAATCCAACCGATATTCCAGAAGTCAAGCACTTCCCACCTGATTGTGATCCTGGAACGCTTTGTAAGCCCGGGGGAGTGGAAATCCATATACATAGACTGTGTGTTTTCCTAGCCTTTCCTCCGACCCCCTCACCAGAGGGGTGAGTCACGACAGAGGGCACCCCGGTCGGGGGCGCAGGGAAGTTAAGCTCCTGCCCGCTGGCATCCTCGCAGTGGCCTTAGAATCTGCCAGCCCCGGAGTTCCGCCCGGGAGGAGGCGAGAGGCACTTTATCCAGCCCCGGAGGGAACCTCGAACCCTGTACCTGACAATTCACCCAGAAAAAAAGCCTTTATTTTTAACGTCGAAACCACGGGGCTCCCCGGACCTCCCCGAGCATTGGACTTCGACAAGTGCTTTTATATTTTGTAACTGTAAAGAGTTTCATACGCGCTCCGAGAGCAGTTGGGAAGCCGCCAGCTGCCCCCATACGAGGTGACCTTTGCATGTACAGAGATGTTGCATTCAGACCGTGAACACGGAAATAAAGCTTTGGTGCAGGTTTGCACCGCAGAAGCCGGCGTGTCCGTGTGCCAGTCAATGGGCCCCAGGCCTGCACGCCTGCCACCCGCCGCGTCAGGCTTGTGTCCGGGCCGAGCTGGGGCCGGACAGCGAGAAGGGCCGGGTTCCTGGACACAGAGCTGGGTTTCCACTCGGCGTGGGGCTGACCCCTCGTTCTGCCACCTCCTGGCTGTGGGGCCTCCCTGGGCCTCGATTCTCTGCGATGGGGTGGCAGTAGCAACATCGGGCAGGAGTTGAAGGCAGGGGTTCTGGGTGCAGCGACAGGAGATGTTTGATTGTCATCTGATGTGCACAGGGCGGTCCCATCATCAAGGAGGGACCCATCCCGAACGGCAACAGTGCCGAGGCTGAGGACTCAGCCACAGTGCCGGGCGCCTAGTGAGTCCTCGGGTGACTGCACCCCACGTTAAGGGGTCAGGACCCACTGCACCGTCCATGGTCACCCCAGGAAGGACCCTCGGAGTGAACTGTCCGCCGTAGGCAGGGTCCGCAGAGGACAGAGTGAGGCGAGGATAGGCTGTGCTGAGTGCTTTGAGTCGGGTAGAGAGAAGGTTCTCCGTTTCCAGACGAGGAGTCTGGCTCTGAGGCCTTCGGGAACTCACCCAAGGCCACACAGGGTCCCCTGTCATCCCGGGTCCTTCCAGCGTATCAGGGAGGGGGGGCACGTGGGTTTTATGCTGACATGAGGATTTTCACCAGAAATAACAGCAACAGAAAACTGTTTAGCACTTTGTCCCTTGTTTGATTTATTCGATGGCCATTGTTCAGTGCCCATCACAGGCGAACGTACGCCGTTAGGCGTTTAAAAACGCCTGGACCTATTTCTTTGGCCATAAATAAGGCGGCTGTCATGGTCACCTGTGTTCCTGTCGAGGCCGGCCCTCTCTCTGCTGTGTGTCCTGGGTGAGTGACTTCACCTCTCTGAGCCCAGTTTCTGAACCATCTATGAAGTGGGGATCAGAATTCCTCCCCTCGGGGGGGCTGGGTGAGGCATGAACGCAGTGCTCACGAAGCTGGCATGGTGACTAGCGCGCACAGTAGGTCTTCAGTCAACGGCAGCTGTTGTACGGACACGCTTTTTATATGGAGAAAAGGAATCTTCGGCGGGCCTGCCTCAGAAATGGGTGGGCGGATTCGCACCCAATTTGGAAGGTAGCTTTAAGGTGGCAGGGCTTAAACGTCGGGCCACGTGGCATGGAGGGGAGACGGGAATTCGGGGGCCCCTCACGCCAAGAACTGGAGCCTTCCCAGGGGTGTCATGTGCTGCTACAGGAAGATGGTGGCGCTGAGGAGCCAAAGGAGGAGTGGGGGTGGGGGTGGGGGGTAACTGGGAAATGTACGGCCCTCATGCCCCATCCTGGCGCTGCAGGGCTTCCCACCAAGCTGGCAGGTCTGTCTGCCCCTGGACACACAGGCCCTGGGGCCGTTATTGGAGAGAAACGGCCGGAAAGGAATCGGGCGGACAGGCCGCTGCCTCAGCAGCCGGGAGTGCTGGGCTGTCAGGACGCGTCCATAAGTAGGACGCGCCTTGTGAAAGCAGATTGTCTGCAGAGGTGACAGCAACAGGTTCATGCTGGAATAGGGGGGGGGAGGGGGTGTGGGAGAGCAGAGCTGCCCTAGCCCCCAGGGGGGTCCCCATGGTGCAGGCAGGGCTGGCCTTGTCGGAACTGGGGGTCCGCTGGAGGCTTGGAGCCGAGAGAGGACCCGAGACCGCCACCGCGCCAGCCATTGTCAGAGGGCAGTGCCGGGGTGAGCCCTGGCTGTGCTCCCAGCAGGCAGCCTGCAAAGCCGGGGCACCGATGAGGAAGGGGAGTCATGCTCTCAAACAGGTGGAGCCTGGGATCCGGACCTTCCTGGGGGCAAGGTCTTGGCATGAGTGGCTACTCCCGGGCCCAGAACACGGGTCAGGACTCCAGGTGCAGGGAGGAGAGGGTCACCCCAAAATGACGCCCTCCCCAGACCCCCTGCCATCTAAGAAGCCGGCACCATCGTTCGGGTCAGACGCGATGAGGGCCCTTCCCAGGCCTGGTCCACACTGGCCACGCCCTGGGCCAAGCTTGTGGGCTGAGCGGGGCTGACCAGCTCCCTGCAGGTCCGCTTCCCCGAGCTGCAGAGGCTGGGCGGACAGGAGGCGGTAGCCCTCAGGACGGGTTTGAAAATAATGCAACGATCTTCAGTGACCTCAACCTGCATATCTATATTTAAAAAAAAAAAAATGCAGAATCAATGTGTTCCTATAAGCATAACCCATGGGCAGAGACAATAGGGTGGTGGAGGCCTGGGGCGGGGTTTGGGGGCGGGCTAGAAGGGGTCAATGGGAAAAAAAAAGGGGGACATATGTACCACTTGCAACAATAAAGATTTTTTTTTAAATATGCAAAGTCAAGAAATGGCCTTGAATTGTTTTTACTGTGGTGTGGAGGGGAGAGCTCATCGCACTTGGCCTATGTGTGCGGGCTCACGCGTGTGGCAGCCGGGCCCGAATTCCCTCCCGTGCTAAGCTGAGTGGGTTCCACTGTCTGGACAGAGCACACCTCGTTCAGGTGTTTGGTCAGCAATGGACACTTGTCCTGGGAAATGCAGCAAATTGAAGAGGAACGTGTTGCCGGGGTGGGAAGTGCTGGTGGGGGGGGGGGGTGGAGTGGGGGAAGGGGGGAGGCCACCAACTAGCCAGCTGGGGTGTAGGTGGTGCGTGCGAATGCGTGTGTGCACTTGTGCATGTGTGCATGTGCGTATGCACGTGTGCGTGCGCCTGTCCCAGCAGCATAAAAGATGGGGAGAGCCGTTCTCCTCACTCGAACCCCATCTCCAAGCCCCAGCGCCGTCCCCTCTCCTGCCTGACCTTGGATGGTCAAGACACAGAGGGACACGGGGCTGCAGGAAGGGACGTGTCAAGGCCGTGGAGAGGTCGGGAGGGGGGGGGGCAGCAGGGATCCCGGAGGTTTCTCTGAACCTCAAGGGCCTGGGGTGCTGGGAGCACCTCCCCTGGGTCAGCAGGTGCTGGGACAGCCAGGGGCCTGCAGCAGGAAGTTGGCTCTCCTCGCCCTGCACCGTCAGGCCCCGCCCCCTCCACCATGGAGCCTGGGCCCGGCCCCTCTGGACCTGTCCCCCCCTCCGGGCGCCCAGGCTAAGGCCTCCAGATCCTGGAGGACTTCCTCCCTTCCCGTGAGCTGTCCAGGGCAGTCCAGGCCGACACCACCTCCTGGAACAGAGCGTGGCACCATGCGGATGTCTGGTGAGTCGGGGATGGATGGATGGAGGGATGGATGGATGGAGGGATGGATGGATGATGCCGGATTCTGCCAAACCCTCTTGTACCTGAGTTTCTATCCGGGGCCTCTGAGTTTGGCCTCTGCCCGCCTTCCCCCCGTCCCCCCTCACCACACCGGTGACCCCAGCGCGCCCCGGCCCGGACAGCCAGACCGCTGACGCAGGCAAAGCAGGCAGCTCCTCGCCCGGCCGCCTGACCCCCCTGGCACGGCCGAATCTGAAAGCTCATGACATTGTTGTGTGGAGACACAGTGTCTGGGGGCGTTTGCTGACCCGGCCTTTGGCGCGGGCTTAATCCCCCATTCCCGCCCGCTTTCCCGGGGCCGCGGCCTGGGCACCGGCGGGCGCCGGGGGAGGTATAAAGGCCGCCTCCCGCCCGCCAGCCTCGCAGGCACTCAGGGGGCCGTGTCGCTGGTAAGGACGCCTCTCCCGCTTGCCTTGCCTTTTCCTCTCAGGCTCACCCCTGATGGGAACTGGGAGAGCTGGGTTCGAACCCGGACGCCACTGCTTCCTGCCAAGGGGACCTGGGCGCAGACTGCCCCGCTCTGAGCCTCCGCGCTAGGGCAGCCTGCGACCGGGCAGTTAAAAGGCGAGGCCTGCAGTGCCGGGGCCCGAGTCCCCCAGGTGAGGAAGCCGAGGGCCCGGCAGGGTCCTCACTGCTGTCCCCCCGCCATGTCCTCCAGGTCAGTCTTGCACGGGACAAGCCCACCATGGCCTCGGACCACCAGACCCAAGCGGGCAAGCCTCAGCCCTTCAACCCCAAGGTCGGTGCCACGTGGGAGGGGCAGAGGGCCTGGCAGAGCGTCCCTTCTGTGGAGTGGGATTGGCATCTGCCCCCTGGGCTTTTCTCTCTCTGCTCTGCCCCTCCCTGTGCCTCGGTGTCCCCATTTGCACGGGGGGGGGGGGGGCGGGCGGGGGGGTCAGCGCTGACTCTGAAGGCTCCTCCCTGGCCCACAACGGGCAGGTCAGAATCCCAGCTCCAGCCTCCGGCTTTAGAGACTTAAGTTTCTCTTTTTTTTCTTTTTTTCTTTTTTTTTCTTTTTTTAATATATTTTATTAATTTTTTACAGAGAGGAAGGGAGAGGTAGAAACACCGATGAGAGAGAAACATCCATCAGCTGCCTCTTGCACTCCCCCCACTGGGGATGTGCCCGCAACCAAGGCACATGCCCTTGACTGGAATCGGACCTGGGACCTTTCAGTCCGCAGGCCGACGCTCTATCCGCTGGGCCACACCAGTTTCGGCGAGACTTAAGAGTTTCTTTGCCTTACCACCCTCACCGCCCACACTACTGACCCTCGTCCTGGCGAAGAAGGGCCTTGCGAGGGGGAGATGGGGTTTGTGACAAAGATGCTCTTTGGAATCATAAAAGGTGGCGGCTGGCCTCCCCTTCGCACCCGGCTCTGAGGCCTGGGGCTGGTGAGAGGCCCGAGGGAGACCCGCAAAACCTCTGGGGCGTGGAGATGGGGCCAGGCGTGCGTGGTTTCGCTGGCGATGCGGGGCCAGGGTGCGGGTGGCGGAGGTCCCGGCTGAGCAGGAGAGACTCCAGCGCGTGGCTGAGCGTCCCGCTGCCCTGCGGTGCCCTGGGGAGCTCCCGGATGCAGACCTGCTGGCTGGCACCCCGGGGAGGAGCCTGCAGCCCCCTCCCAGGCTCCCCGCGTTCCTCCCCACCCTCCCCCCTGCTCCTGCTCCCCACGGCGACGGACACCGACCTCCTCCTGGT